GGATGAAGATAAAATAAAACTCGTTTTACTTGTTATTATCTTTCAAAGCACATGATGGATATTTGGACAAAAATATTATCATTGACGAATACCACAACAACTTCGATTAATAAGAAGCAAAAATTCTCTTATTGAACTATTTATAATTGAGCTATGGTACGAAAAACGATAAGTTTTAACGCTGTTACATCGCGATATAATACGGGATTGCGGTACGACCCCCTTAAGAAAGATCTTTTATCGTTTTGGTTTTCTCAAACGATTAATATATAAATCTCGCTAATTTTCGGAAACTTCTCAAAGTTTCATAACATGTCAGTTAAGTTGGGAAATGTCTTTGTCTGGACTTAATTACATCGTCCCATCGCGAGTTCACGATTTCGTGGACGGAGAGGACGAATGAATAATGATCGCGGTGAATTATTCGGAATCGCACAGGAAAAGCGTCGTGACGGTGACAAAAAAGTTTTTTTGGGTTGACTACGATTAATAGAAACCACACGAGACAAGCTGTGTCTGCGCACAACAAAAGGGCGAATGAAATTGCCACGAGAAAGCGGCCGCGACTTTGTTTAATACCGTTGCTGTGAAACAAAAGCGCGATCGCAGCACGACTATACTCCCCTCTGGATCAGAAACATATCTCGGCCCAGGTAGGCCGGATCTGAAGCAAACTTTCAGGGAATGTTGACGTAGTCAAAGTGTGGTAATGAAATGTTTTTGGCGCCACTTGCAGCTGTTCGTAAGAGGGCACCACAACAAGAGCCAAAAGTAGGCATCTACGACGTGCAAGGATTCTCATTCCAGATAAATGATAGCGAGCTCGGGCTTTTTTTATTTTGCAGTAAACACCTATGACTAGGAGTTGACAGAGCTCGATTTTTAATTTCTCATTTACTGATTGCGATGTTTAATAAAACTTCAGAATCCGAATAATCGTTAGAAAGTTTCGTAGAAATCCTCATTTCTATAAAAAATGGAAACATAATTTAAAAATTCGGCTCTGTCAAGTTCTAGCTATAGATGTTATCTACAAATCAAAAAAAATTTTCTTTCTTCGATGTATCGTTACCGATAATTCCTGCGCATGACAAAAGCTCTAAAGCTAAAAAGTAGCCTTGAGAAAAACGCAAAATAATTTTTGATTATGTTAATGCGTTTTACTTAAAAAATATTTAAGCGTCAAATAACTTGTTGATACTTTGCTATAGGTTAGCGGTCATGGCGGATCTAATGAACATGTGCGGCATATGCGTGCGTTTATGCAATGCAAGTGCAAAACAGGCATCTTTTTTGTTATAGGGGTTCTGAAAAAGTCGCTCAAAACCTATGAAAAATCTATCCTATCGGCACAAAAGTTATGTCATTAGAAAATGGACACTTTGGGCTATCCAACCATGTGCTTTTCTCAAAATTAATATTTTTGGCGAAAATCGACATTTCTGACCTTAGGGGTCTTAAAGCTTTATTGTAATGCGATAATTTGTTTTGTGTAGAATTTCTTTTCTTTTTAAGCCTATCATACAGAACAAATTTCAGAAAAAAGTTAACTAGTCAAAAATGGCATTTAAATAAATGGCGTGATGTAATGCTACTAAATAATCGTCAAGAGAAAGCGAAAAATAACTCAGTTTTACAGTTATTACTGTTAGATGCAGTTTTTTCTATTAATAGTATATTTAAAAATGTTTTTTATTTAATTTTAAGATCAAAATTGAAACATTGAGGTGATTAAATTTGGACGTTACATTTTGTATATTTAAATTTCTAAATCTTAAAAAAGTTATTTTGTGAAATTGTTATTTTCAGCATATAGCTAAAGATTTCCTCTTTCGAATGGTAGAATATGTATGTACTTCGTCCATCGAAGCATAGTCTATAAAAATAAGAAAATGTAATCGAATAAATATGCGTATTTAATTGTGCAAAATGTTTAGCCCTTTTCGCAATGGAATAATAAATGAAATAAAATCAGAACATTAGATGATCAGACAAAATTTGATACCAACTCTGCTGCATGTGAAAAGTGCGTCACCTTTTCTCGAACATGTTCCCTATTTGCATTAGAAAAAAAGGTGAAGAAACGAAAAAATTTATACATGGAGACATTATTTTTTCTTTTCACATTTGCTGTATTTTTACTATTACTATATCATTCTGTCATTTCGATATGCCACCTATACTTTATGAGAGATATTACCTTTTTCATTTTTCAACCCGTTCATCTATAGAGATGAAAAAAAAGGAGGTATTTATCATCCGCTACCTATACGCTGACTAGTGACTGACATCGTTTTAACTAATATTCAATCGTTACGTGTTCTTTTTACCCTTTTTTTTTCTTCTATTCTTTCCTGATCGTACTCATAATTTAATATTTCCATGTGTGTTGTATATATTTTATTTCGAATAACAAATACCCTGTGCAGATTCTCGCTCTTATCTGTGCTTTTTTTCTCCTCATTACCAGTGAACTATACGTGTAGTGTTCTAGGAAAATGTTAAAACAAAACAAAAAAAACAACAACAACAGAAAATCATCTGCTGTGGTTAGTTGCTCCTTTAAATTTTATTTCATAGAGAATGAATAGAGATAGATATACGGGCAAATTGCGCACTCTACGAAAAAAAAAGCAAAATTTGTCTTTCATATATTTACCAAACATGCTTGCATACAAAAATAATGACTATTTTTTATATATATTTGTAGATTCAACAAAGAATTGTTACGTTTCTCAATAAAAATAACTGATGTATTTATTCTCAACATTGTGATACTTGTCAACTCAAATACATCAACTGATTTAAAAGTTAATTTAGAGTATTTAGTAAGTGTTGTGTTTCTGTGAGAAGAAGAAAAAAGTGTGTATATTTTAATTAGTGTAAGTATCAACGAAGCGAAACAGATACAATATTTAGTTGACTAAAAGTTTAACAGATTTTGAATTTCTACTTCATCCATCTCCATTATTTTTCGTAAGCGATGTAGAAATCATAGGTGACCCAGCATTTGAAATAAGACACAGCTCAAAAGGTATTCACCCCGAAACAATTTAGAATTGCGTAAAAAAACATTTATTGAAAAGCGAGCAAAAAAATGTTGATGTTTATCATCCACTGTCAACACATTTCACTGACATCGATGACAGCGAGTCGACATAAGTCAAAGATCGAATATTTGTAGTTATTTATATGGAAATTTTCCAGAAATAACTCTAAAACATTAATTAACGAATAAAATAGATAAAAACAGTTCATGTTTTTCTTTCGAACCAAAACCAGATAGAACTGAATCTACTCTAATAATATACAAAAAAGGTTCAAGCCTTTTTGGCTCCTGTGGCTTCGTCGATTTGACTATATCGTGATATGATCATTTTAGAACTTCGACACCTAAGTAAGCAGATTTTATGAAGCGACCATGAAGAAAAGTTCTTTTACTCAATATTTACTTTCCAGCTATCTACCATATAAATTTCTTGATCTGACGTTAACTCGTTGTAGAATTATGAAAAATAAATTATGGTCAGAAAATACTCAGAAGATCTAGCAGTAGGGACTATCTTTTTCGATCTAATCTGTACATTAGAGGCGTTTGTAATGTAACAAAAAACGGGAGTAAACATTTCTCACTGGGAAATAGTTAAAGAAGAGGGAAGAATGCATAACTCTGCAATGAATTAACGACTTTAATCGAGTCACGCTACCACGTTCTTTTTCTAAATTGAGCTTAAAAAAAGAGAAAGTTTTTTTAAGGGTTGTTTTGAACTTTATTTAGATCTCCATTTTTTCTTCTCCACATACTGATCAAAATGTCAACCGTATCAATTAATTTCACAATTTCATCTATATTATTGTCCAGTAAGACTGGAATTTCGTCAACTACAGTAGCTGCATTAGCTAATAAAACAGGATTGTCCAGTTTACTAAACACAACGGTAGCTAGGGGCACATTGAATAGTTCTGCATGTCGAGAAAAATACAATAATTATACGTGCTATTTAGCCGCTATCATCTATTACATTGCTTATATTTTTGTTGCATTAGCATTTTTACCACAAATAGTGGATATATTTCGTTATCGTTCACGAACAATAATGGGTATCAGTTATATGTGGATAATTGCTCGTATATTGGCATTTATACCATTGATTATTGTTCATTCATTTCAACTAATATCATTTTTTGAAATGTGTGCTCTACTAACGACATTAACGATTTTTATTCAAATTATTTTATTTGCTGATAATTTACATCGACGATTAAAAGTGATACTTGTGGTTGTTAGTGTTGTTACGTGGTCAACATTTACAACAATTATGTTTGCCTTACGCTCTCATACATCGTTATTACTTGGAATTGCATTCACAATATTATCCGTACATATGCTTCCACAGGTATACCAAATTTTTGCATGCATAATATTGATAAAATTGTCACTCATTTAAATTTATTTCTATTTAGATTTTATTAAATTCATTGTTAAGAACAGCTAAATCATTATCAAAATTTGCTGTACTATTTTTGGCATTAAGTTACTCGTTATTTTTTGCCAGTTATTATGTAACAACCGATTATGTAGGCTATTTAATAAGTAGTTATTATACATTAACATTTTTCTGGATTCTATGGTTACAAGGCATCATTTTTCCTGATCAATATATTCATCAAATATCACGTTCGGCACATACCGTTCTTACACCAGGTATTGATATTTATACTGGTTTGGATGCAAATCCTCGTGGCTATGAACCACAAATGTTTTCAATCGAAGATATGGAACCAATTGATGGCAATGTAGTTTATCAACCAATGACATCTAAAGAAAATCTACTACCGGAAACAAAATTAACACGTTTCGTTTGGTATTCAACGGTTGGTTCAATATTTTTAATTCTGGTTATATTGACTGTAATGTTAATTTATCATGTATGGAAAGTATGGGTTATTATTGTGCCATTATCTATTCCAGTTGTTGTTGGATTATTTCACATAATAAGAACAAGAGCGAGCGTTTTACAACTTGAATATCTTAGAAAAATTCTTTAACTTTTATTATTATTTATACCAGGAAAATTTATTTTTTACTTTTTTATTAAAATACGAAATATTATGATTATGGTGAATAAGTACAAGTTTTCTAATTTTCACTTGTATTATGTAACTACGCTATACATGAATTGGTGCATTTCATAGGCTTTATATTGTGTTGATATAAGCTTCATTCTTTCAGAATACAAGTGGAAAAATATTCTTTTATAGTATTCTAAACTAGAACTATCGAAAAAAACAAAATAAATCAATTTTGTACGAATAGAAAGAGTCGAACACATGAACATAGCGTTGCAGTAAACTGCTGTGTTAAACTTTGCACAAAAACTACTTTTATTTTTTGAAAATAAATGACCTTTTTTTCTGACTTAAATCATTCACTTCTAAGTTCTTGATAAACGTGTTACTATCGGAGACATGTTTGAGTATTCTAGACGTCAATTTTTAGACTGAGAAAGGCATAGGTAAAAATATCTATTGCTTATACACGTGTAAGTACGTCTAAACGTATCTGATCAGTAAGCTCAAAGATACATAAGCGATAAACTATAAATGGAATATTTGTATTTAATAAGTAGTTATTATACATTGACATTTCTCTATATATTATAAATCCAGCAGTGTCCAGTTCTACAATTCCATGGAAATTCCTAGAACTGTCAGAATTCGACACATTCAAATATATACTGTTACTACGATTTTGTTCAGAACCTGATTGAATTCTGGTAGAATTTCAATTCTTGTTCTACTAGAGTCTGGCAGAATTACAGAAGAATTCGTAGAGAGAATCTAAGTGTGAACTAATATAACTCTACATAGATTCTCTCTACGAACTGACAGATTCTGTTCCAATTCCGCCAGATTCTGATAGAACTAGAATTGGAATTCTACCAGAATCTAATCAAAATCCGACAGAATTGGAACAGATCAATTATCTTGCACATTATCTTGCGTCCAATGATTTCTAGACAACCATTTCGAAAGCTCAAGCATTTTCTGTTGGTTTTTAAATTTTAATAAATTCCAAGTTATATTGCACTTCCATACAGTATATGTAGAGATTCTGATGTAGTTTCGATTAATTTTGATCCAGTTATGAAACTTTTACTTTTTAGAGCATATTTGATATTTTATTATTTTTTTCCATACATTTTTAAAGTTATCCAAAAGCCATTCATAAGAACTATTATCCATAAATTTTAGACTATGATTATTTTATGACTATGGTTTGCTTTCATTTATAAGTTATTTATTTAGCCTGCCAAGATATCTATAAATCAGTTGATAAGTGTAACGATGACTTGGGTTAATCGTTATAAATTTTGAGGGCTATTTCATCCATTATGAAGTGGAATTTATTCTCTCTTTGTCTGGACTAGAATTTAGGCATTATCAGTTTTTGATGATGTTTGACAACCTCAAAATAGATGTAAACATAGTTTACCAATCACGCCGAGTCTTCTGACAATAGCATTTTTGAAAGAAATTTAGTGAAATTTTTAATTAGATGAGAAGACTGACCGTGTTAGATGCTGAGTAGGGATCTATCTACTCTTGTAAAAAGATAAATATGTTTTTGAGGTTCAGAGTGGTGTTCTGAGGATCCTTCTCCTTTATAGGAAATCGGTAAAATGTTCTTTTATAGGAAAATAAGTGATGAAGTCTCTTTCAAATGCAGAAAGCCTAATTTTTCTATCAATTTTCGATCAAACGTTATTCAAAAAATATCCATGTACACTATATCTTGAAATGGATAGTACTAGAGATTTTACAAAAAATACTACTATTCTTTTATCATCTCTCTTGATGATAGCATACTAGCTGAAAACTATAGAATAAGTGATCGAAGAACGTTTTAGTAATAAAATTCATAAAAAGTTGTGAACATTCACTAATATTCCATTAGATCACACATATGTTTTAGTATGTTTCAAAATACAACGTCAAATCAAACTAAGTATAATATGTTAGAAGTAAAAAATATACGTAGAATGTAGTTAGTAAAGTAGCAATGCGTTGTTTATCGTATCATTTTCATGGTATTGTTCGTCTTTATTGTATTATGAAAAGTATTTCATAGACAAAAAGTGTATTTACTCTTTATAGAAAACAAAAAAGAAGAACATCGTGAAATAGAACAAAGTAACAGTATTAACAATCTTAGAATACTACATGGCAAACAAATACTAGAGCAATGTATAAAAGTAGTATATTATTCAGCCAAATAACTGCTGCGTGTCAACAAAGGCGATAGATGTGTGATGCTTTAACTGCGTAGAGTTTGGGTTTTGAATAAATCAGATTGACCTAATACACGTATATCCCTGGTGAACTGAATATTTTAATTGATGTTACACACTATGCATTTCAAGAGTATTTTGTGGATCCACCAATGTTCATCATACGAGGTGGTGGACGTTGAGTTGGTTGAGGGATGTCATTATTAGAATTGTATGGCGTCTTTGAATTGCTAAACATTTGTGTTTGAGGTAATTGATTAGACGCATACTGATCATTTATTGGTCGGAAACTTGTTAAATTAGCTGCCGCATTCGAGTTTGGCGGATATTGAGCAACAATATGACTGGGAGATCTAAATAATAATATGATAATAATAGTTTTAAATGATGCATGGTATTTATAAACTATGTATTCTTTTGACGTACCTTATCGGCTCTAGATGTGGTCGCCGAACAGGAATGCCTCGGACAGAAGGTGTGCGTGTATTCAAATTTCCTATATTACCGGTTACTTCAGATGCAGTGGTGACTACTGGTTTATTAGTAGCAGCTGTGGCTAATTGTGATGTTCTCGTGTCTAAGGGTGGCAGACGATATGAACGTGGATTTCTTGTTTCACTACGTAATGGCAATGGTTCCGGTTGTCTACTGACAACGCCAACTTGTGATGCTGCCTTGGCTTTCGGTGATGTACTTGTTTTCGCCAATATAACGATGACTGCTATGATTATTGCCACAAATCCAACACAACCCAGAACAACGCCTATGATAAGACCATTTCGTGTTAGAGAACTATCTCCGACCCCGATCGTTGTGTTATTTGTAGTGTTTGATGCCTTAAACGAAAGAACAGCCCGGTGAGAATGCGTTTTCTTTTCCTAAGATAGAAACATTTGCATAGACGTGTTACATGCACCACATCTTCTAGATAATCAAATCATATATTCATACAAAAAATTGTTATTAATTAATTATTCATAAGAAAAATAGACTAGTGGATGTGTATACTTCTGATTAAAATTTATCTACTATTGGATTGATGATGTAAAAACTATCACTTCTGATTAACATTTGTGACTATGAGTGATTACTGGGTTCATTTCTTCATCATTAGTAAGTGTCGTTGGTGAATGTCTGTACTACTTACCATTAAATCCGTCGAGGTCAGTGTACTAGACGCGATACTAGTGTACGTCATAGTGGTCGTTGATGTAGCTGCTTGTGTAGTAGGTGAACTCTAAACTCATTCAGAAAACAACCCTAGTATGAATCTTCAGCACTTCTTAAATTATCGTGTCTAGATCTCCATAAGATAGTCCAAGGCCAGCTCAATAGCATTTTATGACTCTGCTTTCATTTACCCTCTACTTTTGTCCTCATATATCTATATTAAAGAACACTGAAAACGACTGAATCAGTTCTCTATCACACTTCACTCTCGAAGAAATGTACAATACATAAGTTAACGTCAGAGAATATCAAATCACTCATTGTTTTATAGAGATGTTTCAGGAACTATTTCAAAAGTCTTTTATATAACATATTTCACATGCACTCCAACGTTTGCTCGTAGAGTGAAACTCGAACTCGGATAGGTGTTAACAGTACTCTGGAGAAGATGTTGGTAACTTTCTAGTGGATCGTGAATGAATCTTGTGAAAAATCAATAAGATCTAAACAGATTCTCATTTAGTCTTAACAAATGTTAGTCACTGTCGAATATATCCTGGTGCTCCATCATCTAAAGCTCCAGAGTCTCATAAGTAAGATTATAGTCAGAGCATACATTTATACTAGAAAATGCGTACAAGCGACTTGACGATACTTGTGATAAAACGTTGTGTATTAACAGAATTTTAATAAAGTGATAAAGTTACTTTATCATGCTTATAGTAGAAGAATGGTATTCAAATAATAAGTGCGAAGGTTCAACGTATAATGTGCGTCATCGAAAAATTTGCAGGTATATTACTTCATAGAAAAGTTTTATTCCCCACCTTTTTCATATTAGAAAAAACTATTTTTTAGAGTGCATGGTGCCACAAACAGACGAAAAGTGAAGCAAGGGCAAATTAAAATCGTTTGCGCAAGCTATTCAGTTGAAAGTTGTCAGAAAAAGCACAAGCAATATTTTTTACGTAGAACGATTACCGGGCTGTTTGAAAGATATGCAATTTCGATAATACAAGAAACTATCTGTATATTTTGTCATTCTTACAGAAGTCAGTTTCCGCTAAGCCTTGAGAGAACGACAGCACAGTAACGATACAGTATAACGGCAGGACTCTGTCAGATGCAATCAAGCAATAAACTAACAGTTCATCTGGTGTTACCTTATCATAGTGTAATTTCTATTGTTAAAAGAAGTTCTGAAGTGTTATTCAAATTGTTTTTTT